GCCTGATCAAAAAAATGCAGGATCAATGGAAAATCAAAGAGCGTCTTAGTAAAATACCCAATAAGGCCTCGTAATCAAGAAAAGTCTATACAGAAAAAAATTTCAAAATTAAATACACGCATGGGGGAAAAACATTTTCAACTCGGGCTATAATAGGGACAAAACTATTGAAATCAAAGAATCTTTAAAAATCTATCTCCGGCATCCAAATATCATCTCTCCTAAGGTTTTTAATCGTACATAGTATAGTCTCGCAAGGGAAATCATTATTATTGACAAACTTCACTACGAATCTAAACCACTTGATCTCTGATCTAATAAAGAGACGAAAAAGCCATACTGTACTTGTACCTAAAACGAAATGGATCCTAGTTCCGACTATCGAAAGGACAAAATAATTGTACTTGGGGTGTTTTTTCTCCGAAATTTAATTTTTCAGATCGCATTTTTGATGGAATTTTTTTAATCACCCGAAATGTTTTGTTATCATGAGATCACGTTTAGAATAAAGTTATACTTGTGATTACTTTTTGGAAAATTATGGGGGCTTAAAATTGCCATTTTGGCCAATGTGGAATAAATAACCCGCAATTTACACGCAAATTTAAATTTGGGTAGAGAGCTCCAAGTAGAAAACCAACCCAAATAGAAATATTCCGTCACGTGCTTCGTAAGTCGCAGCAATGGTCCACTGCTGTTCCAGACACAGTTTGAAATCTTTAGAAAAGTATGATATTTTTAAAACCATCCCCTATATGCAAAAATTATAAATGTACAGAGGGATATGATTTGCATATAGCAAAAATTCAACTAGACCAAATGGCACGCATCAATTGAGTTTTGAACAACTTCTGAGACAGACGAAGTCATAGCGCCTGAGCGGAGATTTAATCCGCCTCCGAAATTGTTCCAATTTTATTTGAGGCGTGCTATTTGGTCAATTTAAAACTTAGTTAAATGTAAATTAAATTACATTGTTTTATTACATGGCGTGTGAGGGGGGTTAGTTTTCAAAAGAAAGTTCAAAAAAATTAAGGCCAACACTAACTCATAGACCTTAATATCGATATTGCAAAAAACTATGATGATTAGTTTTTCGCAATATCAGACACAACTCTAATTCGTAAAAACATCATATCTCAGCGCGAACTCTTCATCTTATGCTTCCGATTCTTACACTCTGTCTCTGCTTCACTGATTCTTGTTTTCATCCCTCGACTAAAGGGCAGAATACATTTGAGGGATTAAGTATAAGCATTCAATTGCACCGAAGTTTCATGGATAAAAAATGATTATATTGGATTTTTCTCCGACAACATATTAAATTTTTAATCCATTATAATCTATTTTTTACAAACGCATTATAATCTATTAAAATCCAATTTTGTTTTCAATATAATCGATTATTTATTTGTAAATTTTTACTCTATTTTTGCAGCTTTCTGCAAAACTCGAGCTCGATTAACATCGCTACGCCCCATCGCTACGCCCACGCTGCCTGCCGACGGCTACACCCCCACGTTTTTTACAACTCCCTCACCCGCGTTTACCCCATCTCCCACAAAACAAGTTCACCAAACACACTCACCCCCAGGACCATCAACAACCCATTCCACCGCCCACACCGCCCACGAGAATAGGTAACACTAAATCTAATTAATTTATTAAACAGATATAGCCTAGTATTCACATGGCATCATGTTGATATTTTTATATTTAATTATGTGGGCTCAGGATGCGTTTGTAAGTTAGGACAACTGTTTCTAGAGCTGGATCTTTTTTTTACTCTAGTTTGACCCTAATTTGACACTAGTTCGACTCTAGTTCGATTCGAATTTAATTTGAACTTCGTCCAACCCTAATTTGACCCTAATCAGACCATAGATCGACCCCTATTTGACTATGACACTAAAAATGAGTCTGAAGGTCCAACCATCAGACCATCGGGTGTGTATTTTTGGTCTGAAAATTTTTTCTGTTCGGCTGAATTTGGTCTGATCACATTTTGAGCAGTTCAACCAGGTTCATGCCCTAAAA